GCTACTCATGCTTTACAGCTTATCCAGATTTGCTGGAACAATCATGGATTTGTTGGAAAACACCAAGCACCAAGGAGTGACAGCACAGGTGAGAGGGCAAGCCGATCCATAGAAGAAAATCAGCAGAAAAACCTTCCAAAAACAATTTTGAAGAGTATTTTTATCATTGCTCAAAGGTAAATTATCCACCATTAAACGTATGAAAATCTCAATGTCTGAACTTGAAACTGAGAGATGGAAGTGCACACTTAACACATTTTTAAAAAAATTATGTTTCCTATTGTTTCGAGACAGCTCCAATTGTATCCCCTCCAAAAGGACAACATAAAACATTTAAATGGCAATGAATGGAGGTCACCAGACAAAGCTATGTGATAAACTGTGTGAAGTACAGCTCATAAGGGAAATTTCAAAGAATCCAGAAACCATAGCTAGAAGAGACCTCATATTATTATCTGGTTAGGCCTCCAGCAACATTAGGCATTATAGCGACTTGGAGACAACACAGAATAGTGGCCTTTGTAATACTGCAGATGAGGCTTGGTTCCAAATTCTGTCATTTATTAGCTTGTGAACTTAAAGAAGCTATTCTAACTTTTCTGAGCCTCAGTTTCCTCATCTATAAAATAGAGATAATAATATTACCTATTTCAAAGAATTATAGTTGCTGAAACATAGTATGAGTTTAATAAAACATTTTTTATTATAATATATAATTATTACGTTATTTTTATTTATTAGCACATTAGACTTTATTATACCCATCTCACAGTTGAGGCAACTGAAGCCCAGAAAATTTCAGAGGGACTTCTCTGGTGGCACAGTGGTTAAGAATCCACCTGCCAATGCAGGGGACATGGCTCAATCCCTGGTCCGAGAAGATCCCACATGCCACTGAGCAACTAAGCCAGTGTGCCACAACCACCGAGCCAGCGCTCTAGAGCCCGCAAGCCACAACTACTGAAGCCCGCGTACTCTAGGGCCCACGTTCCACAACTACTGAGCCTGCGTGCTGCAACTACTGAAGCCTGTGAGCCTGGAGCCCAAGCTCCTCAACAAGAGAAGCCACCGCAATGAGAAGCCTGCGCACCTCAACGAAAAGTAGCCCCCGCTTACTGCAAGTAGAGAAAGTCCATGCGCAGCAACGAAGACCCAACACAGCCCAAAAAAAAAAGGAAAAAAATGTCAGAAATTTTCCCAAGATTATGGAGTGAGGACTTATAAGGATAGGAGCTCTTTTTCTTCCCAGGGCAGAGCTCTTTTCACTTCATTATGCTTCTATAAATCAATACAAAACTCAGGTCTGCGAAAGAAGGATTTTCAGTAGATAAATTCACAATCAAAGGAAAATCAGGAACTTCTACCATTCAGGTCTCCTTGTCTACCAAATACTACTTCCTATTCAATCATATACGAACACCTTTCAAGTTGAGTTTTGTGTTTTTTTGGGTTTTTTTTTAAGGATTTTGGAGCTTTGATGCTGGCTCACCTCTTAAAATAACTTGCCTCAGGCCAATATGGTGTTTTAGAGTTATAGAAATGTCAGGTAGAATGGCCATTACCAAAAAATCTAGAAACAGTAAATGCTGGAAAGGGTGTGGTGAAAAGGGAACCCTCCTGCACTGTTGGTGGGAATGTAAATTGATACAACCACTACAGAGAACAGCATGGAGGTTCCTTAAAAAACTAAAAATAGAACTACCATATGACATAGCAATCCCACTTCTGGGCATATACCCTGAGAAAACCATAATTGAAAAAGAGACATGTACCACAATGTTCATTGCAGCAGTATTTATAATAGCCAGGATATGGAAGCAACCTACGTGTCCATCAACAGATGAATGGATAAAGAAGATGAGGCACATATATACAATGGAATATTAGCCATAAAAAGAAACGAAATTGAATTATCTGTGGTGATGTGGATGGACCTAGAGTCTGTCATACAGAGTGAAGTAAGTCAGAAAGAGAAAACCAAATACTGTATGCTAATGCATATATATGGAATCTAAAAAAAAAAAAAGAAATGGTACTGATGCGGCAGGGCAGGAATATAGACATAGGGAATGGACTTCAGGACACAGTTGGGGGGTGCTTGAGAGGAGGAAGCTGAGGTGAAGTGAGAGTAACATCGACATATATACACTACCAAATGTTCAATAGCTAGTGGGAAGCAGCAGCATAGCACACAGAGATCAGCCCGGTGCTTTGCGATGACCTAGAGGGGCGGGATAGGGAGGGTGGGAGGGAGGTTCAAGAGGGAGGGGATATGGAGACATATGTATGCATATGGATGATTCACTTTGTTATACAACAGAAACTAACACAGTATTGTGAAGCAGTTATACTCCAATAAAGATCTATTTTAAAAAAATGTCAGGTATGTGCCATTCACATAGATTATGTAACTTTTAGTTTTCTAAGGACAAGAAACTGCTCACTTGGCAACTAGATTTCTATCAGCACTGTGGAAAAAAGTCTTAAGATTTTTTTTTTCCAACAGTGTACTGCTAGATAAAAGCTATAATCAATAGCATTTGGAAACAGTTATAAGCCTTACTAGAGTTCGGTATTAGTTACATACACCAGTGGGTTCACTTTTGGAGTGCTACATACATGGTATGTAGCTGTGCTTCTTTTTTTTTTTTGGCCGTGCTGCGCGTCATATGGGATCTTAGTTCCTGATCAGGGACCTAACCCGTGCCCCCTATAGTGTAAGTGCGGAGTCCTAACCACTGGACCGCCAGGGAATTCCAGTAGACAGCTTCTTAAATGGCAGGATATAGAACTTTATCAAAAAGAATCAAGAAAAAAGAGAGAAAGAACAAGAGACGGTCCTTATTCATAATAAGACCAAGAATAAGAGTGGATAGTATGCAATAACCTAAAATACAGATACAGCTGTAGATTCAACATTTACCTAACACCTATCATATAATAAGCATCATGCCAGTATTCGGAATACAGGGATGAAGAAGAAATGATGCCTATCCTCAAGGAACCAGCACAGTAGGGAAAGGACTTATAAAGGAGATGGGGGAGGGGGAATAGAGTAAAATGAAAAAAGCCAGGAAGAAGCACTGTCCCCAGAAGAATCATATTTCATTTGGCAAGGAGCCTCAAGGGTGCTCGTACAGATTAAATAGCCTAGAAACTTGACCCCTAGGCTTGTCAGTTCTGTAAAAGCAAGCAAGGCTATTCAATCTCAGTCTTTATTCCCAGTCCACCTCATTTGCTTCAGCCCATACCTCGAGAACAAGTGACATTCCTTGTTCTACTTCACCCTCCTTTAGAAGACTGGGAGAAGAGAAGGGACCAGCTCTGATCCTGGCAAGCCTGTTTTTCCCAGGAACTTGAAATTCCAATCCGTAAGAAATCTAGATTTTGTTTGCAAGACTTATAGCTCAGCAAAAGAGCTAGGGGGAGTCAAGAATTCCCCTAACAGCAACCCAAGTTAAGGCCATTAGAAGAGATGTCTGATCTTCAACGAACCTCTGGAGAACAGAAAGGAAAATAAAATTGTTTTCAAGGAGGATGGACTTGAGCTCATGATGCACCATAAGTAGAAGCCTGTAAGAGGCTATTCTTCCTTTTTTAGAATGCTTACAATAAACCAGAAAAAAAGGAAAAAGAAGACAAATGATTATATAAATATGTTGGCATTTTGGTAATAAAAATAATTTTTTGTATTTCTTTAGCATATCCTTTCATGAAGACCAAGGTATTTTAAACTGATTATTTCATTCAGCCTAAAAACAGTTCTGTGATACCAAAAAGAAAGAAATAGGTAAGAGAGATTAAGAGGTATAAACTTTCAGTTGCAAACTAAATGACTTACGGGTATGAAATGTACAGTGTGGGGAATATGGTCAATAACTATGTAATACCTAAAAAAGAAACAAAAACAAAAAACTATGTAATATCTTTGTATGGTGAACTATCACAACTAGACTTATTGCAGTGATCAGTTTCAAATGCATAGACGTATCAAATCACTATGTTGTGTAACAGGAGCTAACAGTGTTATAGGTCAATAATTCAAAAACAAACAAACTCATAGAAAAAAAGATCAGATTTCGGGTCATCGGAGGTGGGTGGGGGATAGGAGGAAGTGCATAAAGGCAGGCAAAACTTCCAGTTATAAGATAAACCAGTACTAGGGATGTAATAATGTACAAGATGATAAATATAATTAACACTGCTGCATGTTACAAATGAAAATTGTGAAGAGAGTAAATCCTAAGAGTTCTCATCAAAAGAAAAAAGTTTTTTTCTATTTCTTTAATTATCTATCTACATAAGATGATGGATGTTCACTAAACTTATTATGATAATCACTTCATGATGTGGGTAAATCAAATGATTATGCCATGAACCTCAAACTTAGACAGCACTATACGTCAATTATATCTTGAATAAATTATAACTTGAAGAAAACAATTTTTTAATAAATTAAAAAATAATCATTTTGACTTTTACACACTCCAAGCATACTTTATAAAGAAACACTACTCCTCAAAGATATAATCTGTGAAAGATGTCCTGCCTCTAGAAATAATCTTAAATCATTAAGTGATTGACACAGCCTCCTGTAGAAAGAAAACTGCAGAGGAATATCATCCTAAGCATTTCCACGAAAAAAGCCAGCCAAGAAAAACACAGGCTAAAGGAACACTGACTAAAGGAAATCAGAGTGAATATTCTGAATAAGAGGGAAAGTTAAAAATTATAAGAGGAACCTAAAAAAACCAGATCTAATAGATCAAACAAGCAGCAGTTGAACTTTTATAGTTATCACCACTCATGAGACTTATCATTGGACAAAACTAGCTGCACCAAAGGCATGTTCCAAAACCTGTTTGGGCAGCCCTCAATCAGTCTAAGCATTCACTGCCACTACATAATCAGCATTGCCCTGCTCTACTTTTCATGTATCTTGCCTGCTTCCAAAAGCCTCCTCTGGGCCCACGCTATAGGCAAAGCACTCATGTACTTACTATTCAGTGAAGAACCTGGCAATGCCATATTGGCTAATATCTTCCTTGTTCTCTAGCAGCTGGCATACTGCATCCTCCATGTATGTGAGGACATGGCGCTGGGCTACAAAAAACAAACAAAGACAGAAAGAGAAAGTGAGAGGGATACAAAAAAAAAAGTCCTTCCAATCCCAGTAGGCCATGAAAGTCAATCAAGGTGTTGGTTCTGTTCTAGGAAGTGGACCGGAATAGGCAAACCAAACTTGCTGGCCCTAACTGAGCTAGTCTCAATGGGCAGAATGGGAGATGCTGTAGAACATAACCTATTGCCGTGTGATTGGCTGTTAGTATTAATATCAACCCTTCACTCTTCATTTCAGTGATTAGGGTGAGGAGCTTTAGCACCATTTAGCAGGTACACCTGGGAATTCTTTCTTCCTACCTCCTTCCACCTTCTTCCACTTCTGCATGTCCCAGAAATTTATCCCAGGGAGTAATGATTCTATGCCTGAAACATGGATGATCTGACTGCAAGGAAAACTCAATTCTTTAATTTAAAAAAAAGTCACTGAAAAAGTTTAAGGACCATGAAGATTTCAGTAAAGTTGTCATAAGTTATTAACCTTGATAAATAATAAGACCATGAAATCTGTGTGGCCCAATTTATCAGAAATCATGTTTTCTACATTTGTTGTGACGGATAAATGTGTGACTTAATCATGGGCTTGTAATACAGGGTGTGATGAGTATTGGAATTAGACAGACCTGGGTTGGAATCATGGCTCTGTCTGATAGCTTAGTCTTGGATAGTTATTTAATCTGCACCTGTTTTCTTCTTTATCAAGTGTGGAAAGAAACATTATTTAATTAAATTAATTAATTTATTTATAAATTGAAGTATAGTTGATTTACAATGTTGTGTTAGATTCTGGTGTACAACAAAGTGACTCAGTTATATATATATGTTCTTTTTCATATTCTTTTCCATTACAAGTTATTACAAGAGATCGAATATAGTTTTCTGTGCTATACAGTAGAACCTTGTTGTTTATCTATTTTATATATAGTAGTTTGTATTTGCTAATTCCAAACTCCTAGTTTATCCCTTCCCCCTTCCCCTTTGGTAACTGTAAGTTTGTCATCTATGTCTGTGGGTCTGTTTCTGTTTTGTAAATAAGTTCATTTGTATCATAATTTATTTTACTTATTTTTATTTTTTTATACATTTATTTATTTATTTTTGGCCGCATTGGGTCTTCACTGCTGCATGCGGGCTTTCTCTAGTTGTCGCGAGCGGGGGCTACTCTTCGTTGCAGTGTGCGGGCTTCTCATTGCAGTGGCTTCTCTTGTTGTGGAGCACGGGTTCTAGGCGTGCGGGCTTCAGTAGTTGTGGCACGTGGGCTCAATAGTTGTGGCTTGTGAGCTGTAGAGCGCAGGCTCAGTAGTTGTGGCGCATGGGCTTAGCTGCTCCGTGGCATGTGGGATCTTCCCGGACCAGGGCTCGAACCCATGTCCCCTGCATTGGCAGGCGATTCTTAACCACTGCACCACCAGGGAAGTCCCTGTATCATATTTTAGATTCCACATATAAGTGATGAAAGAAACATAATTTAATTCTTTCTCAAAACATGGTCAATCAACTTCTTGATCTGAATCACTTGAGACACCCTGTTAAAATACAAATTGATCATCTGACAATATCTCAGACTTGGTGACCTTAAAATTCTAACTGGAGCCCAGTAATCTTTAACAGGTACCCTTGATGTTTCTGATGTAGTTTAAGAATCACTGGTTAAGAACTTTGGCTTTGGAGTTCCAAGACACTTGAGTTCCATTCTCAGCCCCACCAAATGCTAGCTGTGTGACCTTGAGCAAATTATTCTGCAAGCCTATTTCCTGTGGATAATAATACCGTTACTATTCATAAACCACAATACCTGGTTTTCTTGATAATATATTTTATTAAAAGCTATGTCAAAGGGCTATTGGAGGTTTACTTCAGTAATACAGCAGAGCTTCTAATATAGCAGGTGCTCACCAAATGCTTGCTCCCCTTCCCTGAGTTTTGTCTTTAGGTATAACAGTGGTAGCCTGGCACACTTCATATAGAAACTTCCAATTCAGTACTTCCATTTGCCATCCTATTTTTTACAAAAAAGCAAAACAAAACAACTTTCGTCTGGAACAGTAAGAACAAAAAACCCAAAAGTAATAAATATCTTGCCAAAAAGCAGTTCCACAAAGTTGCTACTGAGATGGGCATTTGCCTCTTTCACATTTTCATCCTTCAGGAAAATATGAAAGAATTACCTAAAATTTGTAAAAATAGGTACTTCAAAAAAACATTCCTGAAGTCCTGGTAGTTTAGTGAGATTATAAAGCAAATAAGTTTATCTACCCAAGCTCTACTCAAGTGAGTCTTTGACAGTGGTTACCTAAAGTTTCACCATGTTTACACCAGCCTAAAGTCCAGATGAATGACATGTTTACATTCCATGACTTATTCTATCAATATGAGTGCTTCCCAAAGCTAACAACTATCAGCTACCACAAACATTCTCTAACCCTGACCTCAGAAAAAGATGTGAAAACAAAACCAGTGCTTCAGCAACAGTTCATCCAACTGGAAAACTATTTCGCTAAGAAATGGCCAAAACTGACAGTGAAGTGAGATAATACATGACAACCTCTTGGGACTTCCCTGGCAGTCCAGTGGTTAGGACTCAGTGCTTCCACTGCTGTTGGCCCTGGGTTCAATCCCTGGTCAGGGAACTAAGATCCTGCAAGCCACGTGGCATGGCCAAAAAAAAAAAAAAAAAAAAAGATATTTCTGGCATTAATTGTTTTATAATTAAGCATATATGAAATCGGGAAGAAAAAATGGCCAAACCAACATTAAAATCAGGTATACTTTCACCTCTGAGTTTCCTTCCCTTATTCCACTCACTTATCCTGGTCTTACAAAAAGATTTCTTCCTTGGGCTATATAGGCGTTTATGACTTAGATCTACCTAAGGCTACTACAAGACTAGGGGGGTTTTTTGTTTTGTTTATTTGCTTTTTTTTTTTTTTGGTTTGGTTGTTTGTTTTGTTTTTTGATGGTAGAAATGAAAGAGCTCTACTTAGAAGCAAATCCTGCTGCTTCTCCTCCCTAGCTCCAGGGACTAAAAGTCAATGTGAAAGCCCTTTAAGGGAGAAATGTTTTCAGAGCAGTTAAAATCAAAGTACTTTCCTCCTCCTCAAAAAAAGGAGGACTTTTCTGGAAAACAGACTTTGCATGAGAAAAAAAAAAAAAAAAAGCAGGGGGGGGAGAGGGGAAGGAAAAAAGAAAACAAATATAAATAAAGGACTATACTTATTTAACATTCAGCTACCAATCAGACATTTAGAGTTTAATATTACACATAATAATGATAATAACAGCTCTACCAATTTTGAGGACCTGTGCAACTTACTGAACAACAATGGGTCAGAGACTGTGCTAATTGTTTTACATGCATGATTTTATTTAGTCTTCACAACAATCCTATGATAGAAATTTTGATCATGTTTCTGTTTTACAAATGGGAGAACTGAGATTTATAGAATTAAAGTAACTTGCTCAAGATCACACAGCTAGTGAGAAGAGAAGCCAAGATTCAAACCAAGGTGTGTCCTGCCAAGAACCCATGCTTTTAACACTATATACCACACTGCCTCATCACTGACACTTTCTAATCAGTTTTAGAAATAAATATGATCTTCATTTTACACAGAGCACAAAAGCAGGGGTGTATGTTGATAGTAAAATCATCTGAGAGATGTGGTCCACTTGTGTCCATGTGAATTCATATGTGTGTATGTGAGTGTGTCTATATCCTGTCCCCACCTGCATAGGTATGCATGCTAATCAGCATTTGTGTGAAGTTAAAACTTGTCCCCAAATTTCAAAGTTTCTTACGAAGAACCACCCCACCACAAAATATTCACTCCACCCATTCCTAGTTCGGAAAGTAGAAACAGAAAGCCCTAGTGCTCTTTTTTCTTTTTTTTTCTTTTTTTTACATCTTTATTGAAGTATAATTGGTTTACAATGGTGTGTTAGTTTCTGCTTTATAACAAAGTGAATCAGTTATACATATACATATGTTCCCATATCTCTTCCCTCTTGCATCTCCCTCCCTCCCACCCTCCCTATCCCACCCGTCTAGGTGGTCACAAAGCACCAAGCTGGTCTCCCTGTGCTATGCGGCTGCTTCCCACTAGCTATCTATTTTACGTTTGGTAGTGTATATATGTCCTAGTGCTCTTTTCATCTGTGCGTGAAGCGAAGGAGCTAAGAAGAGCCAGCAGAGGTAGGAAGAAGTTTCTCCCCAAGAATTTCACACAAGCCAAGTGCAAAGAGCTCTCTCTAAATTGCTGCTCCCTAGTGGTTTCCTTCCTGTGCAGCTCTTATCATTCCAATGTTCCTTCTGTGGTTAAGGGTACCACCCAGCCATGGAAAATCCTTGTACTTTACCAAACTTCAGCGAGACAGAAGTTCAAAGCTCTTGTCTGGCAATAAAACATGGAGGGTGTCACTTCATGTTATTTTTTAAATGCAAAAGAATAAGCTTTAATTTATGTGAATGATTAAAGAATAAAAACTGCACACCTGCACCCCTGGAGGGCAAAGATATCTGGGCACCTTAGCTGCCCTCTTGGAAAAGGAAAAGCATTTCAGATTGGCTTTTCTTCTTCTGCTTTGCTGTGATTTCCACAAGACCAGGATTAAGTTTTCTGACATGAACCAATATGCTCTATTGTTCTGAAATCCACACTAAGGCCCAAGAGTCCATGTTTTGCTTAGACAGCATCGCTCACAAGGTTCATATAAAGATCATACAGTGTTTACTTATCTTATCTTTTACTTAGATATTTCAGTGCAGTGTACTGAAGCTATAAGTGCTTATCTCAGACTGCACTGCACTGAAATATCTAAGTAAAAGATAAGTAAATAGGGCTTCCCTGGTGGCGCAGTGGTTGAGAGTCCGCCTGCCGATGCAGGGGACACGGGTTCGTGCCCCAGTCCGGGAAGATCCCACATGCCGCGGAGCGGCTGGGCCCGTGAGCCATGGCCGCTGAGCCTGCGCGTCCAGAGCCTGT